TGGAGAAGAGTCTGTGTAGATTCGTTAGGAGGGTTCCCACCCACCCCCCAATTTAGCAACTTTGGGAGTGGGCAGCATACAAATTCTAATAAACTTGAAACTTTAAGATGGGCAGACTTCAACTCCCACAATTCTGGAAGCTGAAATCCATCCGACGTAAAGTTACCAAGGTTGGAAAAACACAGCTGTGTCATTATCAGTGGGGAGTTTAGGTGGAGAGGACAGCACATCTGGAGGAGGGCCAGGTGGTGGAAAGAAAGGGGGATATGCTCAACGAATCAGACAGAGAGGGAAATAAAATGGCAGAACGCTCGCGTAAGCAAGCCAAGCTGTATTTTGCAATGGCAATTAAAAAAAAAACCAAGTGTCACACAGGTTTAATGCTTTGGGTTTGAACGGAGATGGTTATTGTGGTCCTGTGTGGATGTAGAGAGTCTTCAGCTTACAGCGGTTCATTTAGTGGCCATTCAAAGCTGCAACGGCACTGATAAAAAGTGACGTAACCTCATAAAACGCACTTAACCGCCTCGCTTAGCGATGGAAAAGTTGGGCTCGGTTTTGGTCAAGGGTCGAGGATCCCCTGCATGTAAAAACCAATCTTTCGTCTTCCCACGAATCCCTTTTTTCTACCTCTGCTTGCTTGGATTTTTCATCACAAAGTTAGTCCTTGACTTACAGCGGCTCACGTAAGGACCTTTCAAAGTGACAACGGCGCTTTGAAAAGTGAGCCATGACTGTTTTTCACACTTACGACCGTTACAGCATCCCAAGGCTCATGTAGTCAAAATTCAGAGGCTTGGCAGTTGGTTCACACTTACGACGGTCGTAGTGTCCGTGGGGTGTGTGTTTGTCACGTCATCCCCTTTGCCGACCTTCTGAACCAGCAAAATCAACGGGGAAGCCGGATTCACTTAACAACCAGCTTACTAATTTAATAAAGGCAATGATTCACTTAACAACCGTGGCAAGAAAAATAGTCAAAACGGGGCAAACTCCCTGAACAAATGTTTCCCTTAGCCACATAGATTTGGGGCTCAATTGTGGCCATAACTCGAGGACTACCAGTGCAGGCAGTCCTCCATTTATGACGGATTGCTTAGTGACCATTGGAAGTTACGATGGAGCTCGGGGTTACTTACCGTATTTTTCAATGGTTTTGCGGAAAAACTGGTGTTTCCAAGTTTTGGCAAAACTGGGCAAACCATTGATTTGTTTAATGACTGCTGCAAAAAATGTCACTTTACAACTGTCCTTGTATTTTATGACCCTCCCGATTTACGACCATGATGGTAGGCTCCATAAATTGAGGTCATAAATTGAGGTCAATCTGTTCCTTAATCTGAGTTAGTAAAAGACCCAGTAGCTATGGTGTTTTTTGTTTTTTTTTACAATATTCTGGGCTTGTTTAATTTTAATCTTCCATTAATATTCTTAGTCTTCTGTACAAAACTCCACCCTGGCAACAGGAAAGGCATCTGGCCATTCACAGACTCTGCTGGCTCAGTTGCCCCGACTCGTTAAAAGAC